CAACTCTGTCTGTCTGGTGGGTTCCTTCGTCTCTGGGATGCTGTTTAATAACATTCCTACCAGTCCTCTGGTGAATTTTGAAGTTTCATGACTCCACTGGATTGTATGTATATTTGAAATAATTATTTCAAGAAACATTTCTTTCAGATTTGCATGCATGTGCTGCTTTATGGTGATTTATGACATAAAATTAATAAGAATATTGAGACATTTGTGGTTGGAACATGACAAAGTGAGAAAATCGTCAGTGGGTTTGAAATGGTATTGAGTGGTAAAGTACATCGAGACGATGCTGTCCATATTCTGAAACAAGTTTGTGATGCTATCATGTTAATATAGCATGGAACATCTGAGGAATGATTCCTGATCCCTTCTGAAAATGTGCTATAATTAAGCATTTGAGGTTAGAAAATGGACTCAACCCAGAGGGTATAATGTTTAAGTACCAAAGTGATCACTGGGTGAAAATGTGAACCTCCCGTTGGCTTCAAATTAAAAATCCATGTGGATACCGTCCTAGGGGTTTATACTACAAAGGCCCAGAGTTAACAACTTGAACAAAAGTGGACAAATAAATGATTATTGATGTTTTATTTTAAACTTAGCATTTGAATAATTCAAAAAGGCATTCAAGAAGGCTTATTTAAAATGCATTGTGCAACATTGATTCCTCTGATGCGAGTGGGATTTTTGTTTTGTGCAACAAATTTCTTTGACAAACTCTATGTTCAGATTTTTTTTTTTTAAATTAAACTAAGGTCTTTGCCAGAAACAGAATTAAAAACAAAACTGTGTGTTGTCTGTTCCTGCACTGCGATGATTAAAGGTCCTATATGAATTGAGGCTAAACGTTAGCTATTGTCAAGGTCACATTAATCGTCTTTAGTGAAACAGAAACCTTATTGGGAAAATGAAATGAATCTCTGTACATATTTAAGCCGTGCTCTGCGCAATTCTTCTTTGAAGGTCTCAAGAGTCTTTTCTTGACACGCAGAAATAAAAGACTCAAAGCTCATAGCTATCCGAGGACAAAAATGATAACATTTACTGTAATAAGATTCAAACATGTAAAATATATATATCACTCCCTAAACAGTTGAACTAATGTCACAGCTTAACTGTTTTTCACATGTTCTTGACAACATTTCCCCAAAAACAGATATTTTCCAAAAGAAAAACAAATCTGTTTGTCACACAACCAATACTTAACTGTGATTTTACTTATATGAAGAGAAATAAAAATGTGCCAATGTTCACTTTAATATATTAAAATGTTTAAGTTAACCAAATCAATTATTTGTATAAAAATAATTATCCTTCTGCACTGACACAACTGAGATAAGATTTAGGTCTATAGGCTTCTTGGTTGGTAATCCATCTGTGAAGATATTCCTACCCCGACTACCTGAACAACTCAACGACTGCTGGCGTTGCCTCCTACTGTGAGACGGGTTCCATGTTAAATGATGTAGAATGTAAAAGCACACACCTCATCGATCATGTTAAATAACCCGAAACATGATTTTACTTCTTTGCTTTTTACCAGGTGGATTTTATCAAATGTTTTATTTGTAAGTCAGAACAAAAGATGGTCAACTTCAAGATGTAGACATTGGCTATCAGTAGACGTTCGCAGTCAGCTGAGCTGTTTAATCACATATCTCTTTTTTTCCCCACCCTGTCTTTCATTCAGCTCTTCCCTCTGGTCATGACTGCTCACTAAAGCATGTGATCACAGATTTAAGTGTCGGCATGTGGGCACAATATGGTTCAAATCACTCAAACAATAGACAGCTATCTTTACAAAGAGGATAAAAACTGATTTTTTTTTTTATATTACCATTGCTACTCATGAGTAGAACTTGTTGCTTTTGGAGTCATATATGTAATCATATATAATCATAAATAATAAATAATAAAATCTGTTATTAAATCAGTTGGACCTGTTTATGAAGAAAAAAATATTGACTAAAAAAACAATCTCAGTCACAGATGTTCATTGTAGTAGATTTAAATAAAGGAAACCTCAAGTTACCTTGCACTCTAATTCTAAATATAAAAAAAAATATGTTTTGTTCCAAAAATAAGGTTAAATCCTATAGGAACTAGCAGGATTTTGAGAATTGTTTTCTACTTTCTTCCTAAATAACTAAAATTAGAAGTCAATGCTTATCTAACTCAAAACATAGCAAGTATTGTTTCTTTAAAGTTTATAACAATCAGACCAATTATCTGCCTGCATTTCTTTTTTTTTCGTTTTTTTTTTTTTTGCAATATTGATATCACTCAATGGTTCTAATTAATGCAAATAAAGAAAATTCTTGATTTAGTACATGTTAGATTGAGTTCTACAGGTGCAGCTTAAGTTGTGACAAAAACCATTTTATACAGAATATCTTTGGGGGGGGGGGGGAGTGTGCAAACAGAAGGGAATGTCTTACTGCTTCTTTATAGTATTTTTTGACAAAGTAAATATCTGCTCATAGATAATTTGACATGTTTAGGTGGAGGGCACCTCTTTCTGGGTGCAGTATAATTAATGTGACAAAAATCTCCTGGATCTTTCCTCCTTCTTAGTTCCTCTACAATGCAGTGATAAAAATCAAAAAATAAATCAAACTGTAATAATCTTCTTTACTTTAGGTATAAAAGAAACACTACAGCCTCAGATCTATATTTAGCCTCTGAAAACCTTTGTCTCTGAGTCTACAGGGTGTCAGCGGAGACTTGACACTGTTCTTTAGAGGTGTCATTACCATGGCTGTTCAAAGTATAATGCTGCTGACTGCGAGGGTGGAAACTTGTGATATAATTGGTTTTGGGGAGAAGCTGTGACTTTTCCAGAAGTAACACTCGTAATTTAAGATTCTTAACAAGTGAATATCACCATTTGGGAATTTTATTTGATGAGGAAAGAAGCAGATAAAAAGAGAGAAAGCAAAGCAAGTCATACGAATGAGCACTGAGATGGTAATTGGCACAACAGGTAGCACAAAAAGTTTTGACTTCTTTGCTTCTCCCTGAACTCCTCGATAGGTAAAAACGGGTTGATGATAATTATTACGTACAGATGCGCAGAAGAAGTTTATGCTTTAAAAATGCAATCAAGCAAAGCAGCTAAAACATGCAGTTGAAAAAAGATTAATGTTAAAGTGACAATCATTCATAAATCGGTGGATCAGCTGTAGAATGTAACTTCATCCATCCATCCATTTTCTTTACACCCTTGTCTCTTAGTGGGGTCGGGAGGGTTGCTGGTGCCTATCTCCAGCTAATGTTCCGGGCGAGAGGCGGTGTCACTCTGGACAGGTTGAGTCTGTCACAGGGCTAGAATGTAACTTCTATAAAAAAAAAAAATAAAATTAAAAAAAATATTTATTTTTTTAAACTGTTATGACAATATATTATGAGTCAGACAATCTGTGAAAAAAAGAGCTCCTCTGCCTTCTCCCAGTGCTAAACACAGAAATACACTAGGTCAGAAAAAAAACAATCAGCGCCAGGAGGAAAGTCTTAGTGCTGTCAGTCATGCTTGTGTTTACGCTGCTCATGCCTTGCCCTATGCTATGCTTCAGCTTCTTCCCAATAGCACAGCCTGCTTTGAATGTTTAGGCTAGTTAGCATGGTCCCTGATGACAGCGGATAAACAGTTTTCCTGTAAAGGTAAGTTGTTTCTCTGCTATCAGCTCATTGAGCAGCATGTACATGAAGTTGATTGACAGCATTAACACTGTCCTCCAGAATGACTGGTTGTTTCTGATGAGGAGCATTGGATTTCTGCAGATGGCAGAAGGAGCTTGATCTCTTCACAGACTATCACATTCTGTACTTCTACGTCATAGTGACACTTTAAATAAATATGTAAAAACATATTTTTATCATAGTTGCGTAGTGGAGATTCACTTTATCCTTCAGATTTGTTTATTTGTGGTTGTTTATCTATAGTTTATGCTTCTTTACTACATGATTATCAGGAAATAATTGCATCAAAAGCAGTTTTATTGGACCTTGGCACTTGTATGACTCATCATTAAAAATACTTTCTCAATTATTTTCTTAATGTCAGATACAATTATAGCAGAAGTAAAACACGTCATCTGTAGAGTTTTCATGTATAAATTATGTTTAGATTGTTTTAAAATATTTAAATCCTACATGATGTTTAATTAAAACAAGATGACATATGTTTCCCTGCCAATATTTACTGAACAAAGATGAAGAAAATTGAAATTGTTTCCAACTCATTAAGTGGCTCCCAAAACCCAGGGGTTTAATGCTTCAACTCCATTAAAAGTCTGAATCGCCTCCTCAGCTTATGTCAATTTGCGCAGAGGTCTGGCGTCAAGCTTTTTATCTGATTCAGGTGGAAGAAGGTTGCGTCCTGCAACAGGACTTCAGTTTCCAGAAACCTTAGTTATATACAAAAGCACTAGATGTTTAAGTTTTTTTTTTCTTTTTCTGTACCATTACTGTATTGCTGAAGTTTATAAGAATACCTTAACAAATGCAATTGAAAGATGAAAACAATAATGTTAAAATTGGTCTCCAAGGGCTGAAACAACAACCTTTAAACACCTGGAAAGTCATTGTGGGTTTTATATGAAGATTTTCCTTGACTGCCTCAGGGCTTCGGGGATCACCAGGGGACACAAGCCTAAATTTGAGAAGTCAGACCTTAGACCTAATGTGGCATAAGCTCAGTTCTTATTTTTCAAAAATAAGAGTTTCAGTTTTGTAATTGAAACCATAATGGCAAAACTAGGCTTATGAGAATGGGAATGTGTGTACATATGCAAATGTGAGAAAAGTTGGAGGTTTCAGAGAGAAATTTTGATGGAAATCTTCAGAGATCAACTTGAGTTGTGTGTTTATAGCCATGTGTTTGTCTCTACTGATGCAGCTTTGACTTGAGTGCAGTTAGACTACCAGGAAAACAGAAACTGTTCTTCTTAAACCCATCTGTTGTCATCCTGAAGGCCAAAAAGAAAGATGCTGGAGACTGAAGTGCAATCCTTTACTCATGTCCTGTTGAGACAAACATCATTTCACTAAGACTTGTTACTATTTGTTTTGGTCCTGTTCTACATGGCCGACTTCTCATCTTCAACTCATCTGGAATCTTTGTCTTCTTTGGGCTTTTAAAAATATCCATCATGTGTTACTGTCCCGTTGGAACGATGATACTCGGATTAAAGCTGAAATATCTGTAGCAGTCCAACAGCGAAGCAAATTCTGACAACAGACTCAGACAGTGTCCAATGGAAAATACACAGAAAGAAACATTTGACTGAAGCCACATCTGAATCTAACCAAAAGAGAATCATTGGAGAGGGAATAATTAGCATATCGTCTGTATTTTGTACATTTTCTTAAAATGTCATGAAAAAACAATAGATATATAAACAAAATTTGGCGGACAAAAAGGCCTTAAATGTGCGACATGCTTCTCCAAATATATTTTTGTATATAAGTAAAAATAAAGCTTCTAATTTTTTTTTTACAGTGCTCACTTCTGAACCAATAAAAATACACTTTTTTTTTTTACTCCCATCAAGGGCTTTTCTCTCCTAGTCATTGACCAGACATGCATGGAAAACATGGAACAAGTCTTCTGTTACATTTATCGGCACAGAAATCTGTTAGCAACACAGCAGTATTATGCAGTCGGGAAGCAAGTTGAAGCAATCAAATTTTTCCTCACTCCTGGCTCCTGGAGCTATCAGCCCCCATCCAGGCCCATGAAGACACCGTTGGATTGAGTTTGAAAGATGATAATAGACTCCTGAGGAAACTAATCTATTTCTAAAGAAGAAAGGGGTATGAATTCTCCCACATGCACCCCGTCTCCACCTGTCCACTCTTCAGCAGTTTTCACCCTTGCAGTTGTATTACTGCGCAGTTGCTTAAGTCATAAAGCATAACTTAATTTTGATTTTCAACAGTATAAAAGGGGAAAAAAATGGTATTTCATACATACCTCATAGTTTAGTGTGTTTTTATGCACTTGCATAAAAAAGTGCCAGTTTTAATACAGATTAATTGTTATAACAGCCTTTTTATAAAAAGTCAATTTCACCATATACAAATATTGCAACTGCAGGAGAAACAGATTAAAAAAAACAAAACAAAACAATCTGTACTGTACTGAGAAGTACTGCACTTTGCAGAAGTACAATGGTGCATAGATATTTACAGAGTATTTACTAAATGTACAGTAATACAGTTCATTTCAGACCAAACATTTACAGCATTGCTATTGTCTTATCTTTCTTATTATAAATAAGTCATTATTTGCCTATTACCTTATCAAAAATAACTGGTACTTTCAAGCCAGAATGTGCAGTTTCACACTCTGCCCAGTTCTGTCCAAGTCATTATTATATTGTCATAATGACGTCCACTGGCTTCCCCATCTTGGGGTAAATAAGCTTAACATCTAAATTTAATGTTTAATGGAGCAAAAACGCAGCTGTTACAAGTCCAAGATCATATGTAAGCAAGGCAATACTAGGACCCAGATGGCTCCAGTCAGTCTGAGGCTGTGAGATTTGCCATCTATTTCTGAGTCCTTGGCAGGTGGATGATGATAATGATGATGTTTGTAATCACTGGTCACATCTGGACTCACTGCAGAGAGAGAAGAGATGGAAATTACAGTTTGAAGGATGTTCATTAACAGCATGACATTAGGATGCATTGCAATTTTACATGTTAGAAGGACAAGGACGGTTTTACATTTTGTACATGCCAAAAGACATTATAAAGAAACAGAGTCTATATTTGAGTCCATCTTTGAAAGTCTTTCTTTTCTTCTCTGTGAGATTTTGTTCAGTTAAATGAAAATTGGGTTTCCTCCTAAAACATGAAAATACAAAAATAATCAAGAAAAAAATAGAACATAAGAACTTTGTATGGTTATCTCTCTGCACCAGCTGGATGATTTGATCTTATTTTCCAAGGAGAAGTAGCTCCTTTTTAAAACTATTGCTAACTACTACTATGTTCATGCTCTGGAAGCATATTTTAATGAAGACATGTAAAATACTGTTTGTTTTTTTAATCAACCTCTATGTAAGCAGGAAAAAAATTGCACTGAAAGAAAATGACAAGTTATTAAAAAAAAATATCGGTGCATGTTATTAAATCAGGCTGGAAAACTTTTAGTTTGGAGGTAAAAAGAAGTTGGTGAGATTTATTCAGTTAATTTCAACATTTTCTGTAGTCAGTTCCAGGATAAGGAAGCAGAGTGAACAACAGCCTTCTTACCCAACTCAGTCAGAACAAATGGGACAGAAAGCAGCAGCAAGTTTTGTGAGCAAAAAATATAGGAGTCGATATTTCTCAGTGCAATTCCAGTACAGACAAAGGCCAGCAGAAGTCTGAGTAATGCTTTGTAAATAAAAGTTAACCAATGGGAATTGTGTCGGGCAGCCAGACCACGCTGCTCCACCCATAATAACAACAGTTTGTTGATATTGTGCAGTTTGCAATGAACCTCAGAGAAGAGGAGTAGACATAGTCAAGCATCCTAAAATGATTGACTGGGTAAAAAAAATGATTTTGCTACATAACTACATCCTGGACAGTGGCACAGTAGTTAAGGTTTTCCTTATATGTTCTCCCCAAGCATATGTGGCTTTCTCAAACTGTCCACAAATATGAATATTAGGTCAATAGGCTAGTCTACATTTCTCTCAGGAGTGTGAGTGTGTGTATTGTTTGTTCTGTGTGCCTCTGTGTTTCCTTGTGATGTTCTGTCACTCGATTTTCTTTTTTCCTTCTTTCGATTTTTTGTCTCCAGTCCAATTTCCTAAAACGAAGTTATATAAAAAAACAAAAATTTACCTAACCATGTTGCAATGTACTGCAAGACCATCTCTTCTTTTTTTTAAAACAAAATTTAATTCATTTCCTGGCAAAATGGATGTTTCACCCTTGCAACTTTACTTCAGACCAAACAAAATAGTCAGAAAACTGAGACAACCCTAAGACACTTGTGAAAGCATTCAAGGTCAGGGTTAAAATTTGAGTGAAGACGGCATTATATATTCTATCAAATCCCACACAAGGAATTTACGTGGCGTTACGTGGAGCAACTTATGCTGGATATGTTATGTTTTTCATTTCCCTCTTAATTACAACTGCAGCAATAATGCCTCATACATCTTTTGCAGCTGCAATACATTAGCGCCCCTGTTAAACCATTAGGGGAGTCTGTTAATTTTCCACTACCCTATAAATAGCGAGCTGATGCAACCACAGGGCACCTTCATCCTCCATCTCGTCCCCCAGAGATGCAGCAGAGAGCATCCTGGGTGCATCTTTGTGTCAACAGACACAGAGTGTTTATGGCAAGGTGTTAAAAGTGTTAAAGCCCATTCAATAGCCTCACAAACCAGAGTTGTGAAAGTAGTTCAAGAGATGGAGGATTTGTTGTCTTTTCTTTCTGTGTGTAGAATCCACCTGTTTGTTCTTTTCTTAAGCTAACGGAGTAAAAGTCAGCGTCAAGCCATCACGACTGGTTTCCATATAAACATTTAAAAACAATGAATCAATATCGCCTCCGGTTCTAATGCTAGAGAACTGCAATCAATAAAACAATTCAATACACAGATTTATTGTGACACAGGAAAATGGATCAGGAAGCCTTAAACATAAACAGTAAATGATTTAAATTTTGTTTTAAAAAAAAAAGAAGAGATGGTCTTGCAGTACATTGCAACATGGTTAGGTAAATTCTTTTTTTTTTTTCTTTTACTTTTGAAATTTATTCCCCGGATTACCTGGCCATGAACTCAAACACCTCCATGTCTTTATGTTAAACCTAAGCAGACATCAAGTCAGACAGCTGCACCACACCAGCAGTCAACATCCATCTTGTTGTTTACATGTCTTTGGAGGCCTTTAGAGCTGGAGGGGAGAAATTCTGTGTACCCTGCTGTGTGAAATAGAGCATCCTCTTTAACCCTGCTGATGAAGCCTCAGTCTTCATTGTGATTTTCTTCCCCTGGGGGAAGGAGTGAGGTTGAACCCAAATAGATGACCAGCTGCTCAAGGATTCTGGAGTTTCTCACTTAGGCCCAAGGGTCATAAGTCTGTCATGGGCTGAATTAGTCTCACCCACACCCTTCCAGCTCTCCTATCAAAGTTTATCTCGGTGGCAGAAAAAATAAGACCAGCTGTAGATGCCATTTGTACTCTATGGATTCAATTCCACTTTTTATGGTGTGGCACAAATGGAGCGTAATTCTTTTTCACCCAGAGCAGGATCCAAAAGCAGTTACATCAGTTTGAAAAGACAAACAACAATCCTAAATATATGCTGTAATCTACTTCAGTGATTATGTAATTTACATGATGTCAAACAAATATTTATAAAGTGCCAAGTCCAGCAAAAACACACACAATGACACATTTCTCACCAGATTCAATGTGTCATTTCTGCATGTATTATTTATTTAGAAAGATTGGTACCTGTTGTGAAAGCAGATGATCATGTTGTCCAGTCAACTGCCTATTGATTGCATACCACAGAGCTCCAAGGATAGCATACAGCTCACTGACAGGTTTTACCCAAAAGCACTAAACTGTAGCCTTCACTAGGCTCCTTTTACTGAAGATACAATGTTTATAATGCAGGAACGAGCTCTAGACAGAATGGCTGAGTATCTGTTATAATGAATAAACTATGCATCTCACAGAGAATACTCTTATTTTAACTGCTTGAGAGTTTGTGTGAACCTCAACCAAACCCATGAGCATGACCTCTTAATTTAGAATAGAATAGAATAGAATAGAATAGAATAGAATAGAATAGAATAGAATAGAATAAAATAGAATAGAATAGAATAGAATAGAATAGAATAGAATAGAATAGAATAGAATAGAATAGAGCGGCAAAGTAACAGGCAAATGGAAACATGCAAATCTACACAAGGTTAATTATAACAACATAAACAAGTCGACTGACTGAAACTTAGAACATAAGAAAAATACCATACTGTTATTGCAAACTGAATACTCAGATAGCCAATAAGAAAGCAAATAAACAACAATGCATTTGATGGTTAAATGAAAGACCAGGGAGTAAAAAAATAAAATAAAATAACACAGAAACATAAACTACAAATTGTTATTAACAATAAACCAATTATGAAATGCCTTAGATATATAACCACTCTAATTTACTTTCACTATCTGATTGAGACACATCAGAAATCAGCTGCACAATGGAGATCTTTTCTGAAGAATATTAACGTTAAGCTCCTGAAACATTTTTCCTTGTATGTTGGGAGTTTAAAAAAAAATGTATAGGCTGCATATTTTGCCCCCAGTTATTAGCTGGGGTCATGTCACTCTGCTGCTAGTAAAACCTTAATGGTCTTATGTGTAGGTCGCTAATTCTTAGTCAGACATTTCCACTTGCACCAGCTGCACTTATGTGGCATCTCAGAGTAGAAAGGCTCATGCAACACATCCAAAATAATGTGTGACAGGCTGGTTCAGTGGGAGATGAAACTGTGCATGCTGCAGACATAGGAAGATGATGCCAAAGCTACCTGCATATCTTCCAACATCACTGTAACCCAAGGTAGATGCCAAACGGTATGACAGGTATGAGGTATTAGACTCATTCATTTTAGATTATAAAGTGCTGTGTTGAAAGCGAAGGCAGGTACATATCTCATAATTAATCACTGCTTACACTTATCAATTCATCAACAGTCCATGTTTAGCATTTGTGGTTTCTCTTAGAATCTGTCTTATTGTGACCACATTCAGATAGTTGCAACCATGAAGACACCAAAACCCTTATGCTTATGTGTTTGGACACCATTTCTGAACTGAGTGGGCTCAGATCAGAAATGGTCGTATTTGAACGTCTCTATGTATCTTCATAGAAATTGTTGTGACATAATCCACTGAGAAACAATGCAACCACCACAGTAGGAATTAGGTAATATACGGTAAACAAAAAGTAGGCAATTTTAAATCACATAAGATTATATATTTCTAGCATACAGTAGTTATAATGACAAACGGTACAACCTACAAAGGTAAAGTTTTAAGAAAAAAAACTGAAGATGTTCAAAAAATAAATAATATTTCTGCAATGTAACACCCAGTTGTGTGAAAAATAATCTTTAAACTCATGAAATAATTTCTCAAAATAACATGTAACAAATGCAGCCATTCTCATTTGGCAGGCACAAACAAATACATGTTACTTAATAGCTCTCTGACACACACACACACACACAC